AGCAGATGGAGTACCATGGTGACACATCTAACAATCAGAAGGGACAGTTTTGAGAACAGACCTGGAGGAGCCACAGGTGACCTTATGGGGGGGGTGACCTTATTTACTGCTTTCCTTATTTAAGCAGTGACTAAGGAAAGGTTACAATGTGGCAGAATTGATTTTTCAAGCAGAGCATAGGAGATATTATAGAGACTGCAGGAAACAGAGAGTATGTCCACTAACAGCGAAGCACTTAAAATGGAAACTGACACTGTTCAGCAGTGGGGAGGGACCTGTGGGGGGGGGGGCTGTAACTGTTTATATTTTCTTTTTTGAATAAAATGGATTTGAAGAAAAAGAAGAAAAAATCTGAGAAAAAAACAGTGGTTATCATCAGATGATAAGTAGAGATGGTTTTTATACTCTTAGTTACATACTTATTATTTTCCTGTACTGTATTTTCTACATTTTCTATCACAAAAATATCACTTTCATTTTTAACTACCACTTTTTAAACAAAATGGACAAGATCAGTCATCCAACTATAGATGTGAAACCATCTAAAATTAATCTGTAGATATATAAATCTCCACCATTAGACTCAAGACCCTCATGAATGAAAACCTATTTCATTATTCTTTGGAACCCCAGTGTATAGTACAAGGCATAAAATATAAGCTACATGTTTTAAGAAGTGTTTTTAGCAAAAGAATTTAGATTGTGGACAAAATCCCAAACAAGGTGACCCCTGGCATAACCTCAGGAAGGAAAGCAAAGAATTGCAAAAAGAAATTAAGTGGCAGGACTTTCCCACAAGCAGCTGACCAGCACTTGTCTAGCCAGTCTCCTTTCCAAAACGGTCGACTTCAGGGGTATTGCCAATCACCCCAATACATATTGGTTTGGCCAAAAGGTCTGTTCATTTTTTTTCTCTGTAAGATGTCTCTAGTAGTTCTTTGTTGTCTTTAATGTCATCTGAAGCAATTTTGTTAGATTGTGTTGGGACAGCTGTCACATCGGCATGCATTTAAAAAGATACACACCTCAAAATTGGTGAATTTTTGTGTAATCATTTTAAAATTGAACATGGAAGGAAATAAGCAGTATTTTTGGCATATTATGCTTTGTTATTTCAAGAAATGTAAAAACACAACTGAAACGCAAAAAAAAAAGGACTTGTGTGGTATATGGAGAAGGTGCTGTGACTGATCGAATGTGTCAAAAGTGGTTCACAAAGTTTCGTGCTGGAGATTTCTCATTGAATGATCTCCACAGTGAGGCAGACCAGTTGAAGTTGATAGTGACCGAATAGAGACATTACTTGAGAACAATCAACGTAATACTATGTGGGAGACAGCTGACATACTCAAAATATCCAAATCGAGTGCTGAAAATTATCTGCACCAGCTTGGTTATATTAATCACTTTGATGTTTGGGTTCCACATTAAGTGGAAAAAAAAACCTTCTTGACCGTTATTTCTGCATGTGATTCTCTACTTAAACGTAATTAAAACATTCGTTTTAAAAACAAATTGTGATGGACGATGAGAAATAGATACTTTACCATAATGTGAAACAGAAGAGATGGGGCAAGCAACATGAACCACCACCAACCACACCAAAGGTCTTCATCCAAAGAAGGTGATGTTACGTAAATGGTGGGATTGGAAGGGAGTCCTTTATTACGAGCTCCTTATGGAAGATGAAACAATTCCATCAAGTACTGCTCCCAATTAGACCAACTGAAAGCAGCACTCAACAAAAAGCATCGGAATTAGTCAACAGAAAATGCACACTCTTCCATTAGGATAACACAAGACCACATATTTCTTTCGTGACCAGGCAAAAACTGTTATAGCTTGGCTGGGAAGTTCTGATTCATGCACCATATTCACCAGACATTGTGAATATGTCTGGTGATTTCCATTTATTTCAATATGTGAATATGCCTTCAGATTTCCATTTATTTCGATCATTATGGAATTCTCTTAATGGAAAAAATTTCAATTCTCTGGAAGACTGCAAAAGGCACCTAGAATAGTTCTTTGCTCCAAAAGATAAAAAGTTTTGGGAAGATGGGATTGTGAAGTTGCCTGAAAGATGGCAGGAGGTAGTGGAACAAAACAGTGACTATGTTGTTCGATAAAGTTATTGGTGAAAGTGAAAACATGTGTCTTTTATTATAACTTAAAAACAGAATGAACTTTTGGCCAACCCAATCATTAGCCAGCATTATAGCTTAATGTTCCTTGCTACTAAAACCTTCCGACAGGTCCTCCCTTGCCTAGCTGCCCATGAACTGGGCCATGCTGTTCTGCCAGGATCTTCCTTTGCAGGAAGCTATAGGGACTACCTTGTGTGTCTCCTAGAGATGTCCAGTCCACCCCAACACTTTCAGAGAACCACGAGGAGGAATTCATCTCAGATCTCAGTGCCACTAAAGCAACTCCTCTCAGAGCAAGTAATGCATTTTAATTTATGAATACTAGGAATCTTGTCATTGATCTCTTACCTCTCTGCTTGGAGCTGACAACCAAATCTACAGGATCTGAAAAGCTGCAGCATCTGAAAGTTAACTTTTCCACTGGTTTCCTCTTACCGCTCTCCCCTCCCTGCTCTCTCTCTTTTTCTCACTCTCATTTGGGGTGAGGTAGAGTGTAAACAAATCAAGAAACCAAAAATTAAATACACCTCCCCATCCTCAAGCCCAAGCTTGCTTCAGATATTTTCACCCATTTAGTTTACCTGCAGGACAAGAGAGTTAAAGCTCAGCACCTCTCCTTGTTACCACCAACCAGGGGGATGACTTTTATGTGCATTTGCAACAAGAAAGTCTGATGGAATACCAGAGGCACTTTCCTTTCCACTTCCTGGCCACAGACTCTAAAATACACATGACCATTCTATGAATGGTGCACTTGTACGGCAGAATAGCATTACAGTTAAGAGCCCGACACTGGAGTCAGACTACCTGGGTTCTAATCCTGCTTGCTCCTCCTCATCCAGCTACTGACCTTGAGCAAGTTACTTAATCTTTCCGTGATCTGCCTTCATTCCCCAACTGTGCAATGGAAACAATAATGGTACTTAGCTCATACGGTTGTTGTAAGGAGTAAATGAATTAAAACATTCAAGGTGATTAGATCAGTGCCTGGCACACAGTAAATGTGAGCCAGTACTATAATAGGACAGTTCTGTTTTCAATTAAGCCAGGCCACACAAATTTCAAGTCTGGTTGAAAGTAATATTTCTTACTGTACATTAGAAACTAACAGACCAATTTGTATGATGCCCTTATTTGACTTTGGATGTCATTTATAAATGAGTGTGGAGTTCAAGCTATTTCTAAACAACAGTCATTTTCAACCATTTGCATTCTGGTTTACTAAAGAGGAGAAAGCAGTAGTGTTAGACAATAAAAATGGTTCCTGTGAGTTTATTCCCAACTGTTAACACTGATTCCTAAACCACACCTGTTTGTGCATTAGTACCTATGTACACACTTGTGCACACACATAGCTGTGGATGTCCCTCCAGCTACAACAAAGACGTACAATGTCTAGAGAGAGACAAATCCTCATGGATAGTTTCTCAGGACATTCTTTAACATAAAGTACAGTACTTGGTTTAGCTATAAAAGGACAACTCTGCTTCGTTGGATGCTTGAGGTCCTGATTTACATCTGAGTTTAGAAATCTGCCACCTCCTCCATATTTACTTAAGATGCAAATTCCTCCTCAGATTCCACATCTAAAGAACTACAGGGCCCAAATGGAGCCAAGCCCCATCTTTGCTCAGAGCAGAGCCCAAGTCCCTCTATACCGCTCCACCAAAATTTAAGCCTTCAGTGAATCACTACCTCATATGTGAGTATATACATAATTTTCAAATAAAATGACTTGAAACTAGCAATGTAGGAGGGCAAAGAAAAAAACTGAATAATCATACAAGTTGTAGTGCTTGACCAAAGTTCAGAAGAATAGTAAAAAGCAATTAATCACTGAAACTCTATGCCTCACGACCGGGGTTACTTTGAAATGTAATGTAAATGGATAAATTTCAACCTATGCTACAATAAAGTTACAAGAGATTTAAAGAAAAAAAACCTGACAGTATGTCAGAGCTATTTATTTCCCATTTCTTACGTTTCCTGCAATTACCTACCAAATGAATGTAGGAGTTTGTTATACAGTATTTAGCTGAAATACATCAGTTCCTTCTCAAATCTCTTTTCTCCCTATTGCAGAAAATATTCTAAGAATAGAGACAAAAATAAACCAGGACTATCGGCCAAGAGAACGACTTTGGGGAACTTAGTTATCCCGCCCTCTCCCGTTTAGCAGGCCAGATTCACTCGGAGAGCGGAGGCACTGGACTTGTACTGCATGATAAAGTGACACTTCCGAATAGTAATAGCTGAGATTGCCGCAGCTTAGATTGTTCCCGTCATGAACCCGAGTACAGAATCTTCTAAATGTTTTTCCCAGGATCCCGAAGTCAATTTCAAACGCTGTTCCTTTCAAAAGTCCCAAAGGAGACTCGCTCACCCACCCCACCCTGCAAGCAGCGCACTTCCCGTTCGCTATGGCCGGTCAAGAACTCTAACTTGACAGTGACACACACTGAAGAAAAAATAAAAGGGAAGTGGCCACAAGACCATTTCAAGATATTTATTTAATTGTGTTTTTTTTAAGGGATATCAATGGCCCTGTCTACCAGGAAAGCTTCAATGGGACGTGGCCATCACACCCGCCAGAAAGTTGGAGAACGCCAACGTTGAAAATCGAGACTGACTCCTCTTTAAAAATAAACTTTTTAAAAATCCTCGAAATCCTCTTGCCATCCAAACCGATCCCTCCCCTTCAGGGAATGCAACAAAGCTAACAACTCCCATCCCGGTGGGTTGGATCTCAAAAGCGAGGCTGGGGGCCAGTACGTGCCAAGTCTGCCCGGCCAAGTGGCAGAGGAAGCGCAGGGCACCGAGGCGGTCAAGGGACTCAACAAGCACCTCCCTTACCTGGTTTGACCGGTTTGGGTGGCGGCTTCGACATCTCGCTTCCTGGTGCAGCTGATACTAAAGACCACGAACGAAAAGCCAACCGAATGCCCCGCCGGCCGACACTCCCGGCGCCCCAAAGTTTCTTTTTGTAGGGTATGGAGTGTCGCGCCTTCAAGGACCTGCGCCCACCCTTTGCTCCGACCGGCGAACGCAGGCAAAGATCTTCCGCGCAATCCCCGCCCCGCCCCGCCCCGCGGCCGCCCGAGCTGTCCCGGGAGCTCGCTGGAGAGGACGAGGAAGTGGCCACAGCCTCGCCGAGTGCTAATTGGCTCCTTGGCTGGCAGCTGGAGGCGAGAGCGCTGGGCGGCGCGCGCGCGGGGGGGCGCGCGCGGCGGCCGAACTAGCGGGAGTCCAGCCAGGGAGCTGCGGGTTCGCGCGGGGGCCGACTCAGCCGTGCGCGCCCCCGACGAAAAAGGGCCGGACCTTGACCAGGCTGTTCTCAGATGTCCGCTTGCTGGAGCCCAGCCTCTCCCAACCGGGAATCCGAGTGGCCGTGTGATCTCTGGGTTGACGACCACTACCTGGGCCACCCCTAACCCGGAAGGGGGCCGGGGGCGGGGGCTTGTGGGCCTCTCCGTTAGCGAGCTGTGGGGTTGCGGCAGGTTAGTGACAAACGCGCGCTGGGCCACCGCCTCTGCCGCTTTGCTCGGGAGAACTAGAACTGGCGCCCGGTGAGTACCTGCCTCACTCGGCAGCACCGCGCAACCTCTCTGAGTGGGGCCTAGAAGTGTTTTCAGACTTTTCCTGCGCTGCAGCACGAAGCCTGGTTGCGTAGCGAGCCGCATTGGGACTCTTACCACCCTAAATAGGCTGACAACACGGCCTGCAAGTGCACGCGTGATGGTTTAGTGCTTTAACACCCCGCAGTTGTCTTTAAAATGGGAGTCTGCCTCCCAGAGACCTTACAGGTTCTGGGGAAGTCGCAGAGGACAGGACCAGGTCTTGATCCCCACGGGAGAAGGTCTTTTATTCCTCTAGCATTGGGGTTGACTAACTAACCAGACGGCCTGCCTGCCAATCATAAATGGTTTTTAAATCTTTACGTGGCTGAAAAGAAATCAAAAGAATGTTTTGTGACACGTGAAAAGTATATAAAATTCACATTTCAGTGTTTATAAAGTTTTATTGGAACACAGCCACGCTCATTTGCTTATTTATTGCCTGTGGCCGCTTTCACTTCACAACAACTGCCCGCAAAGTCGGAAACATTTTCTATCTGGCAGTTTTCAGAAGTTTGCCCACCCATAACGCAGCAGGTTCAATCGCCAATGAGGGGTAAGGGCTGGGGCACACAAGAAATGCAGCGTTCGTAAGTTCTAAATAGTACAGCCAATATTATAAATACTATGTTTGCGAGAAGAAAGCTTGAAAAGAAAAGAACTTTCTACAGGAGAGTTTACGTAAAATAAAGCTTTGAAGTTTCCACTAGGGGTTATTGAAAGATCGAGTAATTAGGGGAAAGGGGAATGGTTTACATATTCAGAAACGTCAGCCTTGGAGGAGTTCTGTTTACCAAAAGGAAGAAAAGTTTAAACAATAGTAGGAAATGACTTCCCAGCTGCGTGGAAGAGGTTAATCAAAATATCTATAAAGTAAAATAAATGAGTGAGAAGTACTGAAAACATTTCACTCTTTTAAAAATACTAAACTGTTCTTTCAGCACGTAGAAAAGGAGAACCCCTCGTTAGCATGTTGTGATCCGCCCTTCAGGCCCTTTGTATTGGGGAGTTGGCTGTATCCTGACAATCTGCTGACTCTGCACATGCCACCTCTGACCATTTTGCAGTTTGGAATCCAAAATGTACCAGATTTAGAAGTGAAATAAATGAAACATAATAAACACCAATTATGAAAAAAGGACTCAACAACATATTTCACCTAGGGTAAAAAGAAGTATTAAAAATAATTAAAATTACTTAATAAGGATTTGCTTTGGATATCTTAGTCAGTTCTCTTGCCCCTATGCGAATGCTCTGTGCTGCTGAGGAAAGCTTTACATTTATTGGGAGAATAAGTACATAAATATCCCATGAATATGGGGGTATTTTATATTCCTAGTAATTGGATGTCCTGCACTGATGAGGCTGGAAAGACCAGATGGTTGTCTCTCCGGAGACATTCAGTGATTAACAGTGTGCAGTTGATTAAATGTCTGTTTGCTTCACTGAGCCTGCTGCTGCGCATACATATTTAGAGACAGGCAACTCTTGATTGAAGGCTTTTTCAGTGTGATTTTAAAATACTTCTTAAAGAGGGCAGCAAGCAGTGAAATAACAGAACATGGTGTTGAAGCGGACAGATGCTGGGCCTAAACTTAGAATTTACCGGAAGCTGCCCCCTGCATCCGACACTGTTTCTGAAATAAATTGCTTCTGGGATTGCTATACCCACTCTCTCCCCAGCTACTCATGGCAGCCACAGGTCTTGCTTCTGCTTCTTCCATTTCCCCACCCTTCCTGCTGCATTGTCATCTGTTCATTGCTAAAGGACTGTACCTAACGTGGACCCAAACGCTGTCTTTGACAGGCTAAGACTGCTAACTAATATAGAACTGAGGGTTCGTGTTTTGGTTAGAACTTGCACTTGACTGAGGGAGTTCCCTCCTGAGGCCAAGAGATTTTATACTAGTAGACTCTTGATTTTCCCTCATGCTTTATTTCTGCATTGCTAGAGTATCTACCAGACTAACCCCCTTCAGCCTATTTTCCAGGGCCACAGTAATACTCACCTGTTATTTACATGCTATGTAATTGATAGAATATTCTTGTGTGTATGCACAGATGTGGCAAGAGCCCAGGAGACCAGTATTCCTTGCTATTCAGTGTGCACAGCAACTATATACCCATCAATAATGCATCTGTATAAAGGACATTAATTATACATGAGAGCCTCACAAGCCAACATATGTGCTCCATTAAAAAGAAAATTTTATTGCATTTATTGGGGTGATGTTTATTAAAATTATGTAGATTTTGGGTGTACAGTTCTATAGTAAATATCTGTATATTGTATTGTATGTTTATCACCCAAAGTTGTCTACCTCCATCACCATTTATCCCCCCTTACTCTCTTCTACTGACCCTAACTACCTTCCCCTCTGGTAATCACCACACTGTTGTCTGTGTCTATGAGTTTTGTTTTGTTTGTTTTGCTTAATCCCTTCACCTTTTCACCCAGCCCCCTAACTCCTCTTCCTTCTAACAGCTATCAGCCTGTTTTCTTTATCGATGAATCTGTTCCTATTTTGTTTGTTTGTTGTTTTGTTCGTTAGATTCCCCATGAATGAAATCATGTGGTACTGGTCTTTGACTGGCTTATTTCACTTCACATAATGTTCTCCAGGTCTATCCATGCTGTCGCAAAGGGTAAAATTTTCTTCCTTTTTTACAGCTGGGTAAAATTCTATTGTGTAAATGTACCACAGCTTTTTAAAAATTATATTTTATTGGCTCCTGGCTGGTGTAGCTCAGTGGATTGAGCATGGGCCTGCAAACCAAACAACCGCAGTTCAATTCCCAGTCAGGGCACATACCGGGGTTGCAGGCCAGTTCCCAGCAAGAGACACACAAGAGGCAACCATACATTGATGTTTCGCTCCCTCTGTCCTTCCCTTCCCTTCCCCTGTAAAGATAAATAAATAAAGTCTTTTAATTTTTTAAAATAAAATTATATTTTATTTATTATGCTATTACAGTGGTCCCAATTTTCTCCCTTTGCCCCCCTCTACCCAGCACCCACTAATCCCGCAGTCAATCCCCCCACCATTGTTCATGTCCATGAGTCATGCATATACGTTCTTTGGCTACTCCATTTCCTATGCTGTACTTACATCCCCATGGCTATTCTGTAACTACCTATTTGTACTTCTTAATTCTCTCACCTCTTCATCCATTCCCCACACCCCCCCACCCATCTGGTAACCACTAAAATGCTTTCTGTATCCATGATTCTGTCTCTGTGTTCCTTATTTGTTTAGGTTGTTTTTTAGATTCAATTGTTGACAGATATGTATTTATTGCCATTTTATTGTACATATTTTTTATTTTAAATAAATCTCTTTAACATTTCATATAGTAATGGTTAGGTAATGATGAACTCCTTTAGTTTTTTCTTGTCTGGAAAGCTTTTTCTGCCCTTCCATTCTAAATGATAGCTTTGCTGGGTAGAGCAATCTTGGCTGTAGGTCCCTGCTTTTCATGACTGAGTATTTCTTGCCAATCCCTTATAGCCTGCAAAGTTTCTTTTGAGAAATCAGCTGACAGTCTTATGGGAACTCCTTTACAGATAATTATGTGCTTTTTCCTTGCTGCTTTTAAGATTCATTATCTTTCACCTTTGACATTTTAATTATAATGTGTCTTGGAGTGGCTTCTTTGCATCCATCTTGTTTGGGACTCTGTGCTTCCTGGACTTGCATGTCTATTTCCTTCACCAAATTAAGGGAGTTTTCCTTCATTATTTTTGCAAATAGATTTCCAATGCCTTGCTTTCTCTCTTCTTTCTGGCCCCCCTATGATATGAATATTGGACTGCTTGGCGTTGTCCCCGAGGCTGCTTATACTGTCCTCATTTTTCTTCTTGTTGCTCTGAATGGTTGGTTTTTACTTTCTTATGTTCCAAACCATTGATCTGATCCTTGGCTTTATACACTCTACTATTGTTTCCCTGTACATTATCCTTTATTTCAGTTAATGAATCCTTCATTTCTGACTGGATCTATTTCATGCTGTTAAGGTCCTCACTAAGTTCCTTGAGTATTACTTTTTTATGCTTTTAACATTTTCCTTGAGTACTCTTATAACCAGTGTTTTGAACTCTGCATCTGACAAATTGCTTATCTCCATCTCATTTAGCTTTTTCTGGAATTCTGATCTATTCTTTCATTTCGTCTACGTTTCTTTGTCTCCTCATTTTGGCAGCCTGCCTGTACTTGTTTCTATGTAGAATTAGGTAGAATTGCTGTGACTCCCTGTCTTGGTATTATGGCCTAATATAGTAGGTGTCCTATAAGGCCCAGTGCACAGCCTCCCCTATCACACAACCTGGGTACTTGAGGTGTGTCCTTTGTGTGGCCTGAATACACCCACCTCTTGTACTTGAGCCTTGGTTACTGTTGGCAGGTCAATGGGAGGAATTTACCTATGCCCATCAGCTGCAAAGATTGGCTGTGACCACTCACCACCAGCCTCCACTCTCCGTAGAGGATCAGCTGTGCAGTGGCAGGGCGGTAGTACTCCGACATGATCTGTATCAGTCCACTGGATGCCCAGGCCCTGAGGTTTCCAGAGTTGTACAGGCTAAGGTCAGCCCCAACCTGTGTTCTGCCCACGGCCACCCTGTGTGAGGTATAGAGCAATATGAGATGGCTGCTACTATGCAGGGCTTGGAGATTCCCAGGTGAAGCCAAGCTGTGAATCTAGGCTGGTTGCTGCTAGTGCTGTGTCTGGGGCCACTTAGCAAGAGGTACCAGGGCTGGAGGCTTGCTGAGGTCATTTGTTTCTTGTTTGAAAGGATTTAGGAAATGCGAAGCTTCAGCCAAGACTGACTGTTCATATAGAAAAGCTACTGTTAACATCTGTAAATTGGGTGGGATGGAGACTGGAGATCTGTAGGGTAGGGTAGTGTTAGGCTGATGGAGTCTCAGATATGGCATGCACCTTCTGGCTCTGTGGCCCTAGCTGCCTATCTGTGTGGGAGAAAGGTGTACCCCAGCACTTGCTTAGATGCCAGCCACTTCAGCTCCTCCCTGTATGCCACCCGTGCCTTTAAAGCTGCTACCCTGGTGCTGGAGCTCAGAGGGAGGGAGCCTGAGTAGGTGAGTCCATGTGTGGGTTCTTTAAGAACTGCCTGGCACTCCAGAAGTTTCTTCCACTGACTCAATCTTCACTAGTGTTTGCAGCCAGAAGTTAAGAGGACTTATCTTCCTGGCACTGGAACTCTGGGTGGGAGTCTTGGTGTGGAGCTGGGACTCCTTTCCCCTGAGATATCCCTCAGGATTTTTATCCACCACACGTATATGTGGGGCCAGCCTGTTCCATGTCTCCACCCCTCCTACCGGTGTGGATGGATGTGGTTTCTTAACTCTGTAGTTGTCAGACTTCTATTCAACTCAGTTTGTGCTGGTTCTTAGTGATGGTTGTTCTATAATTTAGTTGGAATTTTGATTTGGGTGTGCGGGGAGGTGAGCCATGTTTACCTACACCGCCATCTTGACCAGAAGTCTTTATACCACAGGTTTTTAATCAACTCATCTATTGAGCACTATCCTTCCTTTGCTCTTGGTAATAAAATGCTTTCAGCAGCTTAGAAAGGGGAAAGAAGTTAATGTCTTGGTCTAGTTTTGCTTCTCACTTTTCCACAACTTACTAGTTATGTGACCTTAGGCAAGTCATTGCATTTTCTGGGCCAGTTTCAACTTCTGCCAAATGAAGAGGTAAACTAGGTGAATTCTAAGACCATACTTCTCTGGTTTTGAGAGTTTAATGCCCTATCCAAAAATGAGGTGGGGGCAAAGAATGACAAAGCTTTATGTATCATTTTAGGGTTTTGGGTTTGGTGTTTTTTTTGCCAAGTAAGGACATCAATCTACTACAATTTATTGCCAACATAATTTCATAAGAAAAAGAACACTATTATCAAAAAAGTAAGAAAGGTAGCATCTCAGGATAAAGGGTACTCTTTCTTGTCCCCAAAAAAAGAATAGTTGCCCGCCTTACAACATCATATTAATAAATAAGAATACTGCAAAATTAAATTCAAAAGCAGAAAAGCTATGAGGACAAAAAAGGCCGCATACTGAACCTGACAAGCCCAGGGAGGGCCTTACAAACTCAGAGACTGAAAGTGACCATGTAGGATGGTCTGAACATAAAAATTCCTAACTAAAACAAGTCTTGGCAGGTAGTCATGTCCTGGGCCTGTCACTTCCTTGGCAAAGGTCAGTCTTTACCTTAAGCAAAGCTGTCTATTTTCCTTTTGCATCTAAGGTAACAAACCCTTGCAGTGTCAGAGTAACCCCCTTTTTCCAGGCCGTTCAGTATAACCTCACACCAGAGTCTGTGGACCACAGAACCCTTCATTGTTATCTTGTTCCCCAGATAACCTCTCTATGTGCTGTAAATGGTAGTTATTAACTATCTTGTACCCACCCATGGAAAAGAAGGATGTCTCTCTGTTTTACTCTTTATCCAATCTCAGAGATTGATCAGCTTTGCTTTCTCCTACCTCCCTAATCGATCACCAGTGAATCTCATGTAACCTCCCTTCTGTCTCCTCCTTTGATTCTACCACTAAAAAGAAGCTGCAAAATTGCTACTTTCCAGAGCACTCTCTGAATGGTGAGACTTTGCTTCCCAGCAACTGTCATCAGTGTTGCTCAGATAAACTCCTAAAAAGTCTCTACAGGTTTGGACGTTTCTTATGTCGACAACAACAGCATAAAAATTTACAATGCTCATGTGATGGTGGTGTTCCCTTGATGTGCCTTCTCAGTTTGGGTGGAAGAGACACTCAACAGTGCAACCCCTGGTACAGCTCAGACGTCCAGCTTGTTCAGTTATTTTTTCTAAAGCATAGCCATGGTTGAATTCTTGTCTCACATAGGCTTTTTAATAAAAGTGGAACTGAACCTTAAGCAATTGCTCTCAATTTGGAATATTCCGGATAAACTGAGAAGACACCAAGGAACAATAGCCCTCTCTCCACCAGGTTCTTCTCCCCACCACCTCTTCCCAGGAGAAGCCTGCACACAGGTGAGAGAAGGGCAGTGGGAGGGCAATGGGAACCTCCAGCTCAGGAGCCCCTCACCCCAGAGAGTACACCCCAAGTCCCGGTCACACAACCAACGGAATCAGGAATAAAGAGCAACTTTTCTAATATTGGTTTCAGTGAGCTTCACCTTCCCACTTACAAATGTGAAAATGACCCATTGGAAGGGACTGCTGTGGTGAACCCTAGGTGACCCTAACAACCCCTAGACCAGGGGTGTACTGACACCGACCAGTGGCTAACACCTGCCCCTCTGCCTGAACATTTGCCATCAATTTCCTGATAGGGAGCACTCACTTTCAAAGCCAGTAAGAGAAATGTTACCAAATAAGAAGGAATATTAGTCTTCTCCTTTGTTGACGTGTATTATCCAAAATGATTTTACTCAATTATTATGTTTTCACTTTCATAAAAAAAAAACCTATAGAAATTTGTTTTCTCTCTTGTTGTATAAATGCTTCCATAATAACCTAGATGTTGCCTCTTGGCCTACAATGTAGTCTCTAATATTTACTACCTGTCCCATATCTGAAAAAAGATTTGTCTACCCTGCCTTTAGACCTGGGCTTTTAGGTGAGGAAATAGTAGTACCCTTAAAGGGCATTATCTCACCATTTCAGAAGGGCAAAGAGAGAGAGAAGCTATGCGCTTCACTTCATAGGGGGTAGGGGTCATCTCCCAGTGATTGAATCATGCGGGTAAAAAGGCAACCTGGCTAAGGGGGGTGTGAAACTCTAGTGAATTCTGCTGCCTAGCAACTCTTCCACGGCCTTGAAAACAGACCTGCAAGCATAAATGTCTTGCCACGGCCTTTTCAGTTCAGTTGACTTGGGCATACAGGCCCTGAGCATGCACCATCTGTTGGCATGTAACAGGAGAGTGGCAGAGAGAAACCACTACAAGCATGCCTCACTTTGTTACACTTCACAGATGTTGCATTTTTTACAAATTGAAGGCAAGACCCTCCTCTAGCAAAAAGATCATAACTCCCTTTATTCCAGGGTGGCCTGGAGCTGAGCCCACATTGTCTCCGAGGTATGCCTATACAATGTGAAGCTCTCCCACAGAAGATGGGTAATCCAGGGGTCGAGTAACCCAGAGATCACAGCCATCTTTCCTCCTTGGCTGGCCCTCCTAATTTAGGACTCTTTTTTTACCTCTTTAGACTTCTAAATGATAAGTATTTGACTTTTTTTTTTTACTTTAGGAAATTCTAGGAAGACATTGTCAAAGCTAATTATGAAAACATTTGTTATCGGCATCAGTGGGTGAGTAGTTTTGCTACAATCAGCTGGTCAACACTCTCAGGGTGTCCAAAAGGTGTTTTCATGTGGATGTGGTGGGGGAAGGAGAAGCAGTGAGGATTCCTGAGTCCTGGGAAAAGCAGACCACTATTGAATGTAAAACAGTGGAGCACTGGCTACCAAAATGCTACCGGGAGGTGGGAGAGTATCCTTATAAACAGAAAAACAGGAAAATCAGGAAGAACAGGAAAATGAGCAAAGTTTTCCTGCTTGATCCTTTATTTTCTGGAGCTGACACCAGAAGCAAGGTCTGATCAGATGCTGCTTTGGTTCAGGGTGGCTTCATTCTCCACATGGCTGCTCCCCCAGCATGACATCAGAGAAAAATCTATCACTTCTTTTCTGTTATGCCCAGCTTTGGACATGTGAAATATGGAACCACCTCACCTGACAGGTGTGATAAGCCAAAGTGGACCTCCCATCTAGACCCCAAGTGGAGAGAGGTTAGAGGGAAAGGAGACATCACAGAGATGTAAATTCATGAGGGGCTGGTAATGAGCCACTCTTCCATATTACTCCATTGTGCCTTGAAACAAAATCACAATGAGCATATGCAGTGTTATATACGTACTTGCATTAAAATGTGCTACTCATATCCTGTGTTGCATTTGAACCCTGCGAAAGCTTTACGGTAGACAAAAAATTCTTTTGTTTCCAACACAGTAACTGTATTTTTAAGTCTTGGTATTACCCAATTCACTTGCCCCATAGTTAGTTACCTTTCTCCTCAATCCTTCCCAGCTTATTTCTTAATCATTTATTACATCAGTCTGCTCATGCCTGTGGTTTTGCCAATAGAAAAACATCTCTGAAAGAAACAATTTTTCTTAGATATTATATATTGTTTTAAATGCTTTATTTTTTAATGTATCTTTCTTAATATGTTCCTTTTCTGTTGTTGTTGTTCAGTGTGACAAATGGCGGGAAGACAACACTGGCTAAAAATTTGCAGAAACACTTTCCAAACTGCAGTGTCATATCTCAGGATGATTTCTTTAAGGTATCTATAAGACTTCTTAGATAATTTATTTAACTACAAAAAAAATTCTAGCAGCAAAGTTAATTGAACTACATCCAAAAGCCTTTGCCAAGTGATACAGGTTTTGTAGTGAAGGTATAGTCAATGCAGTAGAGTTACTTATCCACTAGGTGGCACCATTATTGGTACTGTTCTTTGATATTATTTATCCTCATCTGCAGCATTTATTAGTTTATTGCCTCTTCGTTCTAGAATTGTATTATTTTTGCAATGCACAGTTTTTATCAGTACTTTATAATTTTTTTCAGCCAGAGTCTGAGATAGAGACAGATGAAAATGGATTTTTGCAGTATGATGGTAAGTAGATGAGCTTGTAAACATTTTGACCTAAATTTCATTTCTTCTGCAAACCCAAATACTTCACTACCTGCAAAGACATTCTCAAAAGTGTGTTTAAATGTACTACAGTACTTTGTAAATGTTTCTGATTTATGTCCAGCTATTTTTTAAAATGAAATCTTTCCCCCAATTTTATATTTAAAACTGAAAATGTTGAAATGATACAGATTTTTCTTCTGAAGCTAGGTCAAGGTGTGTTAACTGGTGCTCTAGTCATTCCTGCCTGGGGAGGACATAACTAACTGTGCTTACCTTTCCCCTGAGTCTTACCTGGAGCAAACTTGAAGCACTCATCTGCCAGGCTTTCTTTCCCAGACCCAGCTGGTACTGGGAAGTGGGTTTTTACTTTTTTCATAGATCAAAAAGGGTAGTGAAAAGTTTTTAGATAGATGCACCTCATTCCTCTATCCAATGTAACATGGCCCTTAAACCAAAGGATTAAAGTTAGAATAAGTTTATTTTACAATAAGGCATATCATGCTAATAAACTATATTTAGTGGTATTATCAACTTTCATAATTAACAAGATGATTATTGAGAGTGTATGCAAATTAGCAACCAATAGAGTTCTCTTGAGGAGCCAGAAAATGTTCTTTATTTTTAACTTTGATAGCCTTAGAGGAAAATGTTGCGTAGTCATTTGTTACAGACACACACTAGTTTTGAGAGGCAAAGTCCTTGACTTGCTATCTGTTCTTGTGTCTTGAGAAGCAGCCTGGATATTTTTTTCTTCTCTTCCTCTCCTCTAAAGGTTAATAAGGAAAATTATTACAAAATGAGAGTCAAACAAGGAAAAACTGTCTTCAACAATTGACAAAAAATTATTTCTAATTTAAATGTTCTCGCAAACTGATAATAAAAATAGTAATAGCCCAATTGAAAAAAATGCCCAAGGATGTGAATAAGCTATCCACAGAAGCCAAAATTCATTTGATAATGTGAAATAAAAGGTCAACCTCAAAAAATTATAGTTTACTTTTTTCCCCACTTACCTAGTCAACAGATTTCTAAAGGAATGATAATTATCTAATGATAGTGTTACCGAACAAGAGGTCCGAGGGAGGGGCAATACAATATTTGGCCCACCTAGGGATGCCCAAAACTGCTATACAACAGGGGCCCCTCCCAAAAACAAAATACTAATATCTACTGGGCTCTTCTGTCTGCCGCCAATTGGAAAGACATCTCTTAAAGCCAGAGATTTGTGAAAAGGAAACAAAATGTTTATTTAATGCTATTCAAGCCTAATGCCTCCACTAAAATATCAAAGTCCTTTAGGTTGTACACCTACACCCACACAGCGCTCCCTTCTCCCACTGTCCCAACTCCGGGTACCATAAATCAGGAAAAGAGCACACGTCTGTGTTGCAGGCCTCTCGCACCGTCAGCTGTGTCACTGTGCAGGATCTCGAGTTAATCCAAAGTACTGTGGTACCCTCTCATGGTCCACTGGCAAGAGTCTTTTGTACCCAGTTCCAATCAAAGTCTCTCTTGCTTTTCAGGCCCTGTGGCCAAAGGGGGCACCCCAAAGCCGCGTGGGCCTCTTCTACCAAAGCTGCAGGAGTCCGCACTCCACCAAAAGCATGTGGCTGTCTTCTTCACCTGGCTGCAGGGATCTCCATTCTGGCAAAGCTGCGTGGTTTTTCCCTTCACCTGGGAAAGAGGGGGTCCGCACCCTGCCAAAACCACGTGGCTCCCTCTTTCACCTCACCAAGAGGGGGTCCTCACTCTGCTGAAACCGCGTGGCTCTCCCCTCACCTGGGCAGTTATTCCCTCATGTCCCAGAGCCAGTCGTTTCCAAGCTGTCACACAGGCCTTCTTACTCAGGAGCGCAGCCCCTAGTTACATTCTGAGTCCAAACTACTCCCTTCTCCCTCCAGCTCCAAACTTGGCCACTGCTATTTAACATATCTATGAAACCAGTTAAAGGTTATAGATATGTTAAATAACCATTCCTCCAGAGGTTAGCTGCAAAACTGTTGCTATGCAAAACAGCTCTCAATGGCCTGGCTCCATTCGTTCCTTCCCCCTTGGGGGGGGGGTGAGGACATCTTATGTGTCTCTCCAATATTCCTATACACTTTGAATTCTGGACACCTTTCTAAATCTTTTTTTGCCCCCCCCCCCCCCCCCCGCTGCACCCTGTATCAATAGCACTGACGAAATAAAACAAAAACTGTCACAGGTGAGAGTATAATGAATTGGTGCAACCTCTCTGGAAAGAGATTAAGCATAAGTCCCAAAATCCTTAAAATATTCATGCCGTGTGTGTAAGTGTCCACTTCCAAGAATCCATCTTAAGGAAAAATTTGAACTTTTTAGGTAAATGTACAAATTTAAGGTAAGTCAAAGTAATGTTCAAATCTGTATGATAACTGTTGTATTCAAGTTGCGAGCGAAAGGAATCCCCGAACACTGAGAGCGGTTTGATGGTAAATTTATTGGCCAAGTTTTACCTGCGCAGGGGCGAACTTCCCAAACGAGACCGTAGTCTCGCGGCTACGCAGAGCCGCCAAAGTGGAAGTCGCGCCTGGCTTACAGACTACTGGGTTTTTATAGGGGCAGGCAAGCAAGCAAGCAGGGGATACAGAAGCAGACGTGGCGGTTAGCTATTGGCTCAATCAAACTAGGGCAAAAGTTCCTGATTGGACTGCTGTTGGCGAGCAGCTGGTGTTGGCGCCTAAAAATTTCCTAGCCTTATTTGGACAGGCCCCTATATCCTAGCCTTATTAGACAGGCCTTTACATTCCTAGCCTTATTTGGACAGGCCTTTACAATAACCTTGAAAAAAGTAATTTTTAAATGTTAGCTATTAAGTTTATAAATAGCTGAAATCATTAAAATATAATTGATAAATACCAAGTAAGAGGTTAAAAGAAGTAAAAAACAAATCTTTAAATATCAAAGGATGGTATAAAAATAGAAAATGAGCCCTGGCTGGTATGACTTAGTGGACTGAACGCCAGCCTGAAAACCAAAGGGTCACTGGTTCAATTCCCAGTCAGGGCACATGCCTGGCTTTTGAGCCAGGTCCCCAGTAGGGGGTGCACAAGAGGCAACCACACATTGATATTTCTCTCCCTCTCTTTCTTCTTCTTTTCCCTTCTCCCTAAAAATAAATAAATACAATCTTTTAAAAAATAGAAAATGATAGTAAGCTAATAGATTTAAACCAAATACATTTGTAGCTACATTAAGTTAAATGAACTAAAATACTCCAAATATTAACAGACTGGATTTTTTTTAAAGCCAACAATCACCTGTTATAAAAGATATATTTAAATATTAGGACATAGAAAAGTAGTCAGTAAAAACCTAGATAAAGATAGTATATCATCCAAATACCTACTGAAAGAAAACTGGTATAACTATATTAATATCAAAGTAAACTTTAAGGCAAAGAGTATTACTAGAGATAGAAAGAGATCAATTCAACAGGAAGATAAACAATCTAAAATTTGTATACACCCAATAATATAACTTCAAAATACATTAAGCAAAACCTGAGAAAAAGGAAACAAGAACTAGGTATATCTATAATTACTGTGGGAGATTTTAATACAACTTTCTGGAAAACTAATGGAATAATCAGGCAAAATCATAAGGGTATAACAGATTTGATCAATATAATTAACAAACTTGACCAACATATATAGAACATGCAACCAACAACAGAATACACTTTTTTTTTTCTCAAAAACACATGGAACATTAACCAAAATGCAATATGCAAGGTCATGGAGCAAGTCCTAATACTTTTCAGTCAATTCAAGTAATAGAGATTCCCCCGTCACGGAGAACTGAATTAGAAATCGATAACTAAAGAGGAAATAGAAAAGTCCTAAGAGTTTGAAAAATGATCAGTACCTTTTTATCCTGATTTTAAAAACTTTTTCTTATGGAAAATTTTAAACATATTCAAAAGAAAGGGGGAGTTGTGGGAGGAAAAATGGAGATAACTGTACTTGAACGACAATTTAAAAAAGAAGAAAAAGTAGACAGGAAGGTATAATGAATTCTCATGAGTTCCACATCCAGCTTTTAAAATGATAAACTCTTGACCAATTATATTTTATCTATACTCACTCACTTTCTCCTATATTATTTTGAAGCAAATCCCAGACATCATCACATTTTATCTGAAGCAAAACACTTCTATCTCCCATGGGTTAAAGAAAAAAATCATGATGAAAATAAGAAAATATTTTTTAACTGAGTGATAATGAAAATATGTTAAAACTAATGGTATTTCTGGTTCTAGCCCAAATGGATTGCCCCCATTCCTTGCTACTCCTCCCTCTTACAACTAAGAATCCTGGATGGAATACAGCAAACAGAGGGAAGACTGAAAGACAAAGAGAAGAGAGCAGACTGACTAGGGTTTTGAGTACTTGAGGAATAACATGGCTGTGAGTTATCAGAGTTTTCTTTTTGCCTCTTATACATTCAGGAGAGGGGTGCAGAGAATTGTGCAACATGGAGTCATTAATAGGTACAGACAAAAACAAACAAATGAAAAAACACCAGGAAACCTGTTCCCTAATCAAAGGACCAGAAAAAGGGTGGTCTAGCAGAATAGAAAATAATTTTGTCCTTTTCTACTGAAGCCAAACAAGAAAGAAAAAAATCCTTCCCTCATGGTAGCAGGGCCACGTATGGAGCAAGACTTCTGAACCCACCAACACTAGGAAGGTGAGGAGAGTTTGCCCTCATGCCATTTATGGGGATCATATCAGTGGAGCCAAACAGGGACTGGACTTCCACCCCCACCTAGCAGCAAAGAAGCAGTGTGAGGCGGTGCTGGTTGGTCCTCCACACATTCCTTACCCAAATTGCATCAGCTACCATCAGCAGAACTCAGTGGAGAGCTGAATTTTCACCCTTCACTGAGCAGCAGCAAAGCCACGCCAGCATTTTTCTTTCCCTTTCTCCTTACCAGGGCAATAACTCCCATCCAATGTCAGTGAGTCAGGTTGCTACACATACCCCCCACCCTCGCAGGCAAACTATACCTAATCAGGTAACTACCTGCAAACAAGATTAAATAGGCTTAAGAGCCTCCCCACTTAGTGCCCAAAATTTCCAGGACAAGACTGAATATCGTTTGTCATACCAGGAACCAGGCAAGGCTCAACTTGAGTGAGAAAAGACAATCCACAGACACTAACTTTATGATGACACAGATGTTGAAATTATCTAATAAAGTATTTTCACATAGTTTTATTAAAAGACATCAGTGAGCAATTGTGAACGTTCTTGAGTCAAGTGAAAAATTAGACCGCTTCAGGAAAGAAATATAAGATGTAAAAAAAATTGCCAAGTAGAAATTTATTTTAATTTTTAAATTTAATCCTTATTGTATTTTTTTCTCCATTACCACTTACTGCCCTTACGGTAAGCTCCCCCGCCCCACTAGCTGTCATCTGTTCTCCATCTATGCGTCTGTCTCTGTTATGCTTGTTAGTTCAGTTTGTTCATTAGATTCCACATATGAGTGAATCATATGGTATTTGTCTTTGTCTGACTGGCTTATCTCATTTAGCATAATGTTCTCCAGGTCCATCTATGCTGTCGCAAAGGGTAAAATTTACTTCTTTTTATGGCCAAGTAGTATTCATTCCATTGTGTAAATGTCCCATAGCTGTTTTATACACTCACCTACTGAAGGACACTTAGGCTCCTTCCATATCTTGGCGATTGTCATACTCTGGTTTCTATTCAGATCGTATAAATCTTTCGCCTCTTACCATATCTTGGCAATTGTATATAATGCTGCAGTGAACATGGGGGTGCTTATGTTCTTTTGATTTAGCATGTTCCTTCAGATATATTCCCAGAAATGGGATTCCTGAATCAAAAGGCAGGTCCATTTCTAATTTTTTGAGGTATCTCCATACTGCTTTCCACAGTGGCTGCACCAGTCTGCATTCCCACCAACAGTGCAAAAGGGTTCCCCTTTCTCCACATCCTCACCAGCACTTGCTTGATAATTTATTGATGATGGCCATTCTGACAGGTGTGAGATGATATCTCATTGTGGTTCTAATTTGCATGTCTCTGATGATTAGTGACACTGAGTATATCTTCACATGTCTATTGTGCATCCATATGTCCTCTTTGGAGAATTGTCTATTCAGGCCCTTTTCCCACCTTTTAATTGGGTTATTTGTTTGGTGTTGAGTTCTATAAGTACTTTATGAATTTTGTATATTAACTCCTCATCAGATATATCAGCGGATATATCTTCCCATTCTATGGGTTGTCTTTTTATTTTGTTGATGGTTGCCTTTGCTATGAAAAAACTTTTTAGTTTGATATAGTCTCATTTGTTTATTTTTTATTTTGTTTCCCTTGCCTGAGGAGATATATCAGTTAAAAAGTTTTCCTTTTAACCCATGGGGAGATTTATCAGTTAAAAAGTTTTCTCTAGCAATACCTGAGATTTTGCTGCCTATGTTTCTATTCTAGGATTTTGATGGTTTGGGGGTCTAACATTTAAGTGTTTGATCCATTTTGAATTTTTCTTGTGTGTGGTATAAGAAGGTGGTCTTGTTTCATTTTTTCTGCGCATGTCTGTCCAATTGTCCCAATACCATTTATTGAATAAACTATCTTTAGCCCATTGTATGTGCTTGCTTCCTCTGTCGAATGTTAATTGACTATAAAGATGTGGGTTTATTTCTGGCTCTCTATTCTGTTCCATTAATTTATGTGTTTGTGTTTATGCCAGTACCAGGCCATTTTGATTACCCAAGTAGAAATTTTAGAACTGAAAACAAACAATAACAAATTTTAAAATTCACTGAATGAGTTCAACGGAATAAATATAATAAAGGAAAGAATCAGTGAGCTACAAGACAAAATAATAGAAGTTACCCAGTCTGAACAATAGAGAGAAATAGACTGAAAAAGAAATGAACAGAAATACAGGACAATAACAAAATATGTAGCAAATTATTGGAGTCACAGAAAAAGAGGAGACTGTGGTGCTGAAAAAGTATTTAAAGAAATAATGGTATAAAACATCTCCAATTTGGCATAGGACATAAATCTACATATGCAAGAATCTGAGTGATCCCCAAACAGGTTACAAAACACTGAACAAGAACAAAACAACATTACAGATCCTCGAGGCACTAAAAAGATGAGGGTATTATAAACAATTTATACAAATAAATTAGAAAACTTAAATGAAATTGACAATTTCCCAGAAAAATATAACTTGCCAAGAGTAACACCAGAACAAAGTGAAAATCCTAGTAGCCCTATATCTATCAAATAAATTAATCCATAATTTATTTAACTAAAACCTTTATAAGCACAGATGACTCAGTTGAGTACTTCTGGAGTGGGACTCAGAATGTACATTCCTAGTTAGGTCCCCAGATGATACTAACGGTGCTGGTCTGGATACCACACTTTGAGAATCACTTCCATAGTTACTTTTATAGAGTTATAAGCACAAAAAGTATGCACATTTTAGAGGTTGAAAATGACATACTTCTGTTCTTTGAAATGTTTTTAATGATTTATTCTTATTTACCTAATAAGAGCTCTTTATATATTAAAAATATGAGACCTGGCTGGTATGGCTCATGAGTGCGGGCCTGCGAACCAAAGGGTCACTGGTTCAATTCCCAGTTGGGGCACATGCCTGGGTTTCCCAGTCCAGGTCCCCAGTAGGGGGACGTGTGAGAGGCAACCACACATTGATGTTCCCCTCCCTCTCTTTCTTCCTGCCTTCCCCTCTATCTAAAAAATAAAGTATTTTTAAAAATAAAAATATGAGCTCTTTACCAAATACATTGCAGATATTTTCCTCAGTGTGTCATATATCTTTCAAACTAATTTATAGATATTTTGTCATTCAAAAATGTTAAGATTTATGTAGTCAGAGGGTAATAGCAGTTTGAAATAAAGCAACATTAGCCATGATGCTGGTGGGGACATAGTATTCATTATACTTAATTCTCTACTTTTGTATATATTTCAAATTTTCCATAATAAAAATGTTCCAAATATATTAATTTCTCAATATTAGAGTTTAAAAATACCTGTAGGATTTGTTACTAGATTTTTGCAGGATAAATAGCATTTGTTATTTTATGTATTTATAGAGCCCAGGATATATTCATTATAAAAAATGTATCATAGAACTTTTATCATATTGATTTCATACTTTTGTATGTTGTCTGAAGTGCTCGAAGCACTTAACATGGAAAAAATGATGTCCACCATTTCTTGCTGGATGGAAAACTCGAGACACCCGCAGGGATCCACAGACTCGAGAAGCACCGAGGAAGTTCCCATGTTAATCGTCGAAGGTTTCCTTCTCTTCAATTACAAGTAAGCATCCTCACTCAGGTGTTGATTCCGAATGAATGGAGAAAAAAACCTCATGAGCTAAATAATGCTGTTGTTTTAGGCCCCTTGACACTCTGTGGAATAGAAGCTACTTTCTGACCATTCCGTACGAAGAATGTAAGAGGAGGAGGAGGTAAATTTTGAAATTGTAGATTGTGATTCAAAAGACAAAATTTACTAAAAACAAGAAAAGGAACGTTACTGAGCAACGTGTATGCCATTTTTCAAACGGGGGAAGCCTCAACTCTTACACAGTGAGCAAAACCTTTTTCCGTAAATAATCATCCACGTGAAGTAACACACACTAGGTTTCTAAGAAAAGATGCTTATAAGAGTCATTTGGCTTTTTTCTCCTAAGTCTTCAAATGAAAGAATTCCTAGCTGATTATGATTTTAAGTTAGTTGGCCTATATTCTGTTACAGCCTTAAAGAACACCAATTAGTATAAAGCTTAATCCAACATATCAGTATTTCTATCATTATTTACACTGATAGTTGTCTCTTAATTGTTTTATAAAAAAACTAGAGGAAGGAAATGATTGAATGATAGTCAGGGATTTAAAAGTAATTTTTTTAGAAGACTGATTTTTGGGTGAGTGAACGAAGTCCATTTCATTGTCTTTGTAACTGACATTGAGTCTGAAAGTTTAAAATGTGTTATCTTAATCCTGTTTAGATTCGGTTTCTTGTGATTTTCCCATTATCCTGACCATTATTATACTATATCTATGTATGTTTCTGTCAACATAAAATTTTCTACATGTTTTGATAGTACAAGGGTCTACCAGCCTCCAGACCCACCAGGATACTTTGATGGCCACGTGTGGCCCATGTACCTGAAGCACAGACTGGAAATGGAGGACATCACATGGGAAATTGGTGAGTGCCTCTTCCCCCTCAACAGAAGGCCTTTTACTTGTCACTGCCTCAAAGTACACAAAAACAAAGGACTTTACAAGGCATGTTTCTCAGGTATTACATTTTAAAGGAACACTTTAAGCCGTGACACTCTGGGCTCCCCATCTTCCACAACTGGCTCTCCTCGCTTCTGCTGCTCTCTGTGGCTCTTGTCAACAGCTTGTCGATGTCTAGATGGTCACTTATTCAATAAACGTTGATTGAGTGTTTTCTGTGTATGGGTACTGCCCTGGTGATACATATCAAGGGAAATAAGGCAGATCCAGTCCTTACTCTTATGAGCCAACATTCTATTAGGGAAGCAGATGTTAAACACAGCAGCTACATGACTACATCCTTTCTAATGTGCTGAGTACTGTGACAGCAAGCTCTTGGCGGACTGCCTAAGTCCCAGTGATCCGGCCACATTTACACCATGCTGACAGGTTTAACTAGACCAAGGGAAGAAGGTTGGGGTGGAAGATCACCCCAGACAGTGGGTACATGAAAAGATCAGCACCTGAAAGAATGTTGGTATATCTGTCATAGAGAAAAACCAAGGACAAGAGATGCTGCTGTTAATACAGGAAATTTCCAAACCCTATAAGGCTATAGACCAGTTAAGAACCGTGCCATTATGTGGGGACGACTTCTTCACTAGTCCCAAGTGCCATGGATGAGAGTGAATATGACCGAGACATGACGTGATCGGCTTAGGGAGGAGAAGTGAGCAGTGGCCAGTTTCTCAGGGGAAAGAGGCCAGCAGTGGCCAGTTTCTCCGAGGAGAAAAAGGCCTTGAGCACCCTCCTCCAGGGCCTTTTATTGGGTTCTAATATACAGGAATACAGGGTAGCAAGGATCAAAGAGTAGATAACATTTCAAAGAAATCTGAGGGCTTCAGAGTCTGTCAGGAACAGTTTTAGGGTATCTTGCTTGAACCCTTAACATATGAATGAAAGCACTCTTAGCAGAGCAGATTTCACAGGTTTATCAGGAAATCCTTGTGATGCCAGATTTTTCTTCCCCCAGGACACGCTCTAGCCAGGCAAGGAGCTGCACCTCTCCCCATCCGGTATTCAGGCTTAAGGGGAGTAGAGCCAGGAAGCACTTCTCCCAGAGAACATGGGGACTCAGGCTTTGTCAGAGCCGGGGGGCAAGAGTCCATTGCTCCCTCTTTGCTGCAGCCCCCCCTAGTCCTTCCATGAAGGCCTCCCAAGTGATCTGGCTTAGGTTGCCCCCCACTGTGAGGAATCTTATCCATCATTGACTTCCAACCAAGCTTTGGGGGCAGGGAGAGGAAACTGAAGCAGCAACTGAAGCAGCGTTTTCTACCAGAGACAAGCTTTGTCTCCTGGCTCGCATTCCAGAGGTTGTACCTTGCCCTTAGCCACAAGGGATCGAGATACAATTCCTAAAACCAGGCAGAGCAGTCTACAACACCATTATTCCAAGAGAAGTAGGAAGCCCTCTACAGAGAAGTTCAAACAAGGACATGACATATCAGGTTCTTGTTTCAGTAAGATCCCTCTGGCTATGTGGAAGGTGGATGTAGAGGGTGCAGTATTGGACATATGTGCTCAATAGAACTGATGATGGTGTAGATAGAAGGGTGTGGGAAATTGAGGTGTCAAGGACAACACCTTGGAACCTGGCAGATACTATTTTGGAAAACAGAAAATTGAAGGAGTTGCAGGTTTGTAAGGTGAGAATGCAAGTCTGTTCTGCAATGTTGTTAAGACTCTTGAAAGACATCAAGCAGTGATTTGGGAGTAAACATCTGGCTATGAAACTGGAAAAGCCAATGTTCGTGCTGCCTCAGCACCAGAACCTATAAGCAGAGACAGGGATTGAATCTTTGTGTGCACTTTATTCAGATGGCCAGCAATTTGAGAAGGCAGTTTGTTAGGTACCCTAGTAGACCATCTTACATTTCCTTTCAAGCCAGCCTTTTTATAAGGAGGAGAAAAGTGTAGGTAAGGGATTTGGAATTCAGGGAAAAGGTTAATCAGATAAAAGCTGCAGTCCAGCAATTTCTCTAACACCCTTTCATCCTGTTGACTGGTGAGTCTTAATCTGTGTCCTGGGCTGCAGAGATATTTCTCCCTGGATCACAATGGCTCAAATACCATCTTGATTGCTTGTAGTCTCCTCTAGAGCACACAAAGGTTGAATTGCTTATGGTCTCCTGGAGTCAGGATGGGCCATACCTTCAGTTCCTGAAACAATAGCTTCTTATATGCATTAACTACAAAGATTTTTAACTATTACTTAAAACCAAAATTTTCCAACTCTTGAGTTCTCCCATTCAATCTGTGAGCCCCAGCTCAGAGCAGACTGCTGGGATACAGAGCTCAACACAGAGAAAACTACAGGAGGCAGAGAGAGAAGGCTGTTGGTTGGCCAAAAAAATCAGAACTGATGTGTATTCAATTCTGAAAAGAATAAAGCAAGTTGCCCATATTGCAGGAAGCTTCATGGACTCCAAGTGGCTATATCTGAACCATGCAGAAAGCACATGGGGCCTCCCCATGGTCTAGCAGCCATCATAATCTCTTCTTCATTCAAGTTTAAACCCTCCTCCCTATTCCCAGAGCTGCTGCTGAGGTTCAAGCCACAACACTTCCAGTGTGGACCATGGTTCTAGAAGCATCCTCTCCTTACTATTCCTCTCTCCCTCTCCCTCTCCATCTAAAATACGAAATCTATGTCCCTGCCTTGCTTAATACCTTCAAAGAGTCTCCCACCCTCAGTTAACACCTATGTAGGCAGACATCAAAGACAGAGGCACAGCTTTGCCCTAAAACCTCATCTCTCTACTGTTCCTGACTCCTCTACATCCTTTCCAAACTGTGCATCTTTCTCTTAACAGGCAAAATTCCCTCCCACCTCCCTACTTGGGCAATTTTCTGACTAGAAGGCCTTTTTCTTCAACATACATAACTCCTACTTTTTCTCCAAGACTGACTATGCCAGTTTTATTAAAAATCCATATCTTCTGGGCCTGGAAAATTCTGATGCAATACACATTTGGTGGAGCCCAGACCCCTACATGATTTAAGAAGCTTCACAGGTAATCTTGTTGCATAAGTTGGAGAACTACTCCCTTAAAGGATTCTTTCAGGGAGGCACCTCTTCAGTCCTCCTAAAGTGACATAGTCACAATGCCACTTAATTCTTTGTCTTTCTTTTTTTTTTTAAATAATGTTCACATCAGCTAATGCACATTTCTCTGTAATTAACCAAATTGTTTTTGCCTGTTATTCCTGACTGTAATCTATTTCTCTTTTTAATAGCCAGTGATTTCTTTTCACTGGCTATTTCTTTATGGTTCTGGATGCTTTGGTTAAACATACTTATTTTCCAGAGATATCAGGTGCCAAATTAAGCACTCTATTACTGTTAGCATTTGAATTGCGCCCTTTTTCTTTTTCCAGTTTATCTAGATGGAACCAAATCTGAAGAGGACCTCTTTTCACAAGTGTATGAAGATCTAAGACAGGAACTTGCAAAGCAAAAATGTAAGTACCGTCCTATTGATGTGGATGGTGAAGGAACAGCTGGGATTATGGTTGATCACATAACCAAAAATGGAATACCAGAACGCTAATGTAAGAGTGATTGTATCCATCCATTCATTGCTTTGAAGATAATTCAGAATCAGAGACTCTGAATGGGTTTGGGGACTTGATTATTTTTTTAAGGGTGAAGATAGTCACCCTACATTATATCTCTTAATAATACTTATGTTATGTAATTTAAATATTTTAGTGGACAGTTACTATCTCAATGACACTGAAATTATCCTCTGACCAAGTGAAGTTAAAATGTTGGTGATCTTGTTTTCATGTCTAGAGCTCCCCTTCTCCTTTGTTTCTCTTAAAGATTTTCCATGCCCTGGCCACATGGCTCTGTTTGCTGGAGCATCGTCCTGTGCACCAAAAGGCTGTGGGTTTGATTCTCAGTCAGGGCACGTATGGGAGCAACTGGTCAGTCTCTCTCTCTCTCTTCTCTTTCTCAAAGTCAATAAAAACATATCCTCAGTAAGGGTTTAAAAAATATTTTCCATGAATTTCTATTTCCCAACTGTCTCAAAAGTAAAAACAAGATTTTAAAAATTATTGAGTGCTTCCTTAAGATTAAAATAATTTTTTTATCTTCACCTGAGGACATTTTTTTCATTGCTTTTAGAGACAGGAAGGGAGAGAGAGAGGAAAAAAACCCATCAATGTGAAAGAGGAACATCGGTTGGCTGCCTTCTCCTACACGCCCCAGTCGGGGATCGAACCCACAAGCTGGGCATGTGCCCTGATGGAATGGAACCTGCGTCCTTCAGTCTATGGGATGACACTCCAACCAACTGAGCCACACTGGCCAGGGCTCTTTAAAATTTTTATATTAGATAACACATTTTGCAAGTGACAGAAATCCTCCTAAATTTTGCTTAAGCAAGAAAAGTGCAGGGGCAGGGATCACTGACACACAACAGTCACTGACAGCCATCGTGTCTGTTGGAAGCACTGTCCTTCTAGGCCCCGCAGCCCCAGTGCAAGGGGACAGCGTATCCTTTTTCAGGGTTGTCTATAGGCTGGTAAATGTTGGAGCCGGGTGCTGGGGTAAGGGTTTACATGTTATTCTCACTGCTTTTGGAAACACTTAAATTTTTTATTTTAAACAATTATTTTATTTTATTTTTCAAGTATACTCGATGTTCATACGGCTTCATATTAGTTTCAGGTGTAAGCATAGTGGCTAGACAGTCACACAACTTAGAGTGATCTCCCCAATATTTCAGGCACCCACTGGCACCACACTTAGTTATTACGATATTATTGACTCTCTATTCCCTATGCTGTACTCTATGACCCATGACTGTGTTGTGACTACCAATTTATACGTCTTAATTCCTTTGCCTGGTTCACCCAGCTCCCAACACCCCTCCCTTCAAATAGTTCTTTTTTTAAAGCAGTTTTGCATTTTAGCCTAGCTGAAAATTCCCAGGGAAGATTTTGAGATTACTTGGGTCACATGACTTTCTATAAACCAGTCACCATGGCCAGGGAGATGGTATACTCTGACTGGCTAGGACTGGATCAGGTACTGATCTTGTATGTTGAATGCATTCTTAAAGCCTCCTGAATTAAAAGGAGAAAATTCTCCAAAAGGAAAGCAGGATAGGAGGTAGAAAATAAAAGGAGGAGGATAACAAAGCATGCTGGAGAACAAAACTATAGATGTAGCTGCTGTTATGTTTGAACTGAAAGGATTCTCCTGGCTATCTCATGCAAAATGCAGTCATCAGCTGACTCAGGAGAAGACAGTTTAAGTCACTCCAGCAGTGAAAAACATCACGTGCTTTGTTTTTGTTTTTTTTTTTTTAAGAAGGTGGGGAAGGGAAGGAGAAAGAGAGGGAAAGAAACATTGATGTGCAAGAGATACATAATCATCAGTTGCCTCCCACATGCCCCCAACTGGGGTCCTGGCCCACAACCCAGGCATGTGCCTTGACTGGGAATCAAACCAGTAACTTTTTGGTTTGCAGGCCAGCACTCAGTCCACTAAGCCACAGCAGCCAGGGCAAGAACATTACATGCTTTTTTGGTGAGACACAACTGCCCTAGTCCCAATGTCATCATCTCTCAATAAGAGTTAGATTGGCCGTGCCCTCAGTAAATTCACATCTGTCTGGGGGACTGAGCCCAGCCAGGCAATTTATTGATCCTATATACTCCTAATTTCAGGATCAGCCCTTCATGTAGGCATGAACCCATTTGAAGAAATTTCAGGACCATAATAAATTACTTCTTAGTGGAACTTATAATTCTTGCCAGATATGCCTGCCCACCCTGCCATCTGTTAGTGTGATGAAAGGCAGACTTCCCACAGTGAAGCTCAGGGCACCAGCATGAATGGATACAAAGGGAGAAGGGAGGGGCTCTGCCTTTGTAAATGATGGCACCTGAGCCAAAGCCATTTCTACAGAGGTTATTGGCTTCCTTTCTGTTCCTAATGAGGTACTTCCAAGAGCGTTTCAGCAGTTGGCCACCTAGACTTTTCCATCCTCTCAGTAACGCTGGTGCACAGGTCCAATTCTCCCTCGGTGACTACGTTACGTACTGGAGTTTGGCCTTATGCTCTACTTGCTGATAAAAATGAAAGGATCCTTGATCATGTATTTCAGGCAAATGGCACCTAGTTCCATACCAAATGCCAGCTTTTGCCATCTGGTCCACGACCTAAGAATAGCTGACATGTTTGAAAGGTGCTGAAAGCCCACAAGAAAATACATGTCCTTGAGTGTTACACCCTCTTCTTTCTTTGCCTATGTCCTAGAGGCCTGGAAGGAAATATTTAACTATACCTTTAAAGGCTATCTTGTTTGTATACTAGATATTAAAGTTTAAAAAGAAGAAAATACAGAGTGGCAAAGGTAGGTTTACAGTTGTGAGTATGCAGAACACAGAGCTAATTTTTATATTACTAGTATTATTGTATTTTCCAAACAAACAACTGTACATCTACTTTTGCCCACCCCATAAGTAACAGATACATTAAAAGAGAAATAAAATCTAAAGCAGATCAGCTTTTGCTACATCAAAGACTTTTGTTATGTTTTTTTCCAATGGCATAAATAAGTTACTGTATGATATTAACCCACCATCTTTCCCATTTCTCCCAACCACAGTGTCCGGGCAAAGCCAGCCCGGAGGGGGCCTCAGCATAGCCTGCTTTAACCCTCAGCTCAGGACTGAGCTAGTGGGGAGGGCCTCAGACGTTCCCACCAACTACTCTTCAAGCTTCTCCTAACATCTCATAAAACCGCTTAACTAATTTTCCACTCCAAGCATATTAAATAGTAATTGTGATAATAATAACAAAAGGGAAACAACAAAGATGGGATTTAATGAAAAATGCACAATAAATGACCCAGGAGAGTAAGGATATGAAGCTATATATTTAATTCAATCCTTATTTAAATCCAGACTTTGAGGCAAACTTGAATCATTACCTGTTCTACCTGTAACAAAACAGTCTAGCCACTGGCAACATTCAAACTTCCTTTAAGAAGGTTCATTTTCATCTCCCTATAAAAGTATATTAATTAAAAAATAAAATTTTAATATAAGAGCAAAAGAGAAAAAATAATCACCTATATTTCCACCAGTCAGCAGTGTTAAAATTTAATAAGTACACACCCAATGTTTTGGCTGTTCACATTCATATCTTCCATATGGTTACATAGTTTACATGGTTAATTGCAATGGTTATTTCTTTTTTAAATCAATATTTAATACTTAAGCTTTACAGAGTCCATTATAAAATAAAATTGAATAAAACTAATAAATAGCTCTCCCAATTAAAGGATTGAAGGAGAAGGCTGAGTTCTGTTTTGCTCATTGAAAGTGAATTACGACTTGACTTAAACGTCTTAGTGCAGAAGATGTCACACGTCTACTTTCAAATAGGAATAAGAAATGACAAAATAGGCCCTGCCCACGTCACCCACTTATATGGAGCATTATCAAAATGTGCCAAGGTTGTGGGTTCGATTTTCAGTCAGGGCACATACAAGAATCAACCAGTGAATGCATCAATGGATGGAATAACATGTTAGTATTTCTCTCCCCCTCTCTCTCTTTCTCTCCATCTCCCTCCCTCTCCCTCCCCTTTCTCTAAAATCAATCTTTTAATGTAATTACTGTAAGAAATTTTTAAAAAGAAATTTGAAAATAAAAATGTAATCAAAGGTTTATGTTTTTCTTTTTGGCATTTTTCTATATTGAATTTAAAATATAATATCCACTTACAAAGTAATAGTAGCATAATAGTTCAAACTGACCTAAGATTATTGAGTCATTTTCCAGTTGTTGGATATTTGGCAAATAACATGCAATAAAAATATCTGCACAGATTGCTGGTTTTCTTCTTGAATTACATTAACATTTTTCAGAGTAGCAGTTGCTTGGTCAAAGATTATAATCATTTTTACATTTTACATGTTTCAAAGAGTAAACATTATAATAAAAAATGTGTTTCTCCAACATGAGCTGTGTAATAAGAATGCAGTAGGTTTATCGCTGGGTTTCTAAGTCAAAGTCACTAAATATTCGGCTAGGCTTCCTTGGTTTAAAAAAAATGATTAGGGGGTGGCTTGGGTGAGGGGAGTGATAGGGGAGAAATGGGGACAACTGTACTTGAACAATAATAAAATAAATCATAAAAAGTAAAAAAGAAGAAAAATGATTAAAGCCATGACTCGTGTGGCTCAGTTGGTCAGGCATTTCACAAAGCAAAGGGCTGAAGGTTCGATTCCTGGTCAGGGCACCTGCCTAGGTGCAGGTTCAGTCCTTGATTGAGGTGTGAATGAAAGGCAGTCGATCCATGTTTCCCTCCCCTTCTTCCTCCTTTCCCCTCTCTCTAAAAATAAATAATTAAAATCTTGGTTTTAGAAAAGAAAAATGACTAAAGGTAACAATACTTATTTCCCCAAATCAAGCACAGCACTTCAAAACAAGAATTCTGCAGCCGGCCACCTTTTGCAATATACTCTAGTTCTCAAACCATTTCATTCCTTGAAGTCAAGGATTACTATACCAATTGCAAGTGACATTGGATATCCGATCTTTAGATAGGCTTAAATTTAATGCAAGGATTAAAAGAATGAGATTTGGACTCTATTTAGTTCTATATAGAAAACCAGCATTTCTGGTTCCAGAATCCCTTTAATCTCTTTTTTAAGTTTTTATTTATTGATTTTTTGAGGGTGGGGAAAGAAACATCAATTTGTTGTTCCACTTATTTACACTTTCATTGGTTGATTCTTATATGTGCCCTGATGGGAACCAAACCCAAAATCTTCATGTACCAGGAGAGTGCTCTAACCAACTGAGCTAGCTGCCCAGGGCTAGAATCCCTATAATCTTAACAGCCTTAGAATACTGTTGTTAGTGTGAAGATTTCATAAAATGAAAATTGGAATTCTCCACTAATTTCTATCCTATTTATTCCCAAGGTCTGCAAGTAACAGCATACAAATAGAAGGCACTGAATTCTTCCTGGGTGAATTAAGAAACTTTACCAAGAACCTTATTCAAGAACCTTAACCAAGATGTAACATGTGCTTTGTTCTAATGACAGCCATTGTTTTGTTTGTTCTAGCACACATGATTTCCCAACTCGTGGAACAGTAAATTGTTTTCCATGACAATGGTCAGGAATTTATGTTAATGAGTTGTTCTCACTCCAAGAAGTACATAGATATAGAATAGCCAATGAACAGTGATATCAGTTCCTCTGTACCCATGATTGTCAAACTTTTTTAAATGAGAGCCAGAGTAAGGGATAAGATTTACCTCACAGTCCAGTATAAATGTAATCTGTCATTTGTGTGTATATGTGTCTATATGTGTATGTACATTTGTCTCTGTGTGTGTGCATGTACATGTGTGTGTGCACATATAAGTATCATAAAACATTTACCTTCTATGCAAATGTCCTCTGGTGCTTTTCTATTTTTTTTAATATTAGTTACTCTCCCATATCAATGCCCACCTCCTACAAACAATGGCATTGCCAGGAGTACCAGTCCCATTAAACGAATCAATAATTGCCCACAGTAACTTTTGTGTGTGCTTAGTCACTGTTGGTTCTGCCATTGTTTTTTTGTGTATATCTAAAACCACTGAATGGTTATGTCACTTATGTGGAAACATGGTTACAAATAGGGTTTTCCCCTGAGTTTTATTTCGTTTTTGTCAAACCAGTGGTCTAAAATCACAGAAATAAGTTATAGTTACTTCAGTGACATATAATACAGAGTACCTTTCATTGAAAAGCACATTCAGGCAGTTTGAATTCTGTGATTTTGTTAGGCCTTTTTCAATGCTGGAATTTAAATGATCTGCTGTACCAATAATCTTTTGGTCATAAGTAACAAACAGATTGCTCACAATTCTTTCAGTGCTTATAAACATAAAATACATTGTTATATTAACTTTACATGTTCTCTACAGGTTCATTTGGTTAGCTCTCATTATTTCTATATTTCTAACTAGCTTGCACATGGTAATGATTAGGAATTTTTTTCACACACTCTACATAAAAATAAAAAAACAACTTGAGCTCAAATTACAGTTTAGCTACTTAGTGGCAATATGACTTTGATCAAGCTATTGAAAGTCTTGATTTCCTCTTTTTAAGATGGGGATATCAATATTACTTATTAGGATGCAGTGCAGAATAAGGATAAAGTTTGAAATCCTTAAAATAACCTCTTAGGCGTTCCCCGATCCAGCCTCCATATAGCTTTCTAGCCTCATTTCCCATCACTCAGCACACTACTGTTCAGCCACTGGGACCTCTCCTCAAACCCACCAGGACCCTTGCTGCCTCACAGCTGGCATGCATGCTGCCCCCAATGCTTAGAGCAAACTTCTGCAACCCTTCCCCCCAACCAACTGGCTGACTCCTCCTCTTCCTTCAGATCGCCCCTAAAACCCCACATCCAGGAGGCTTTCCTGATCCCTGTTAGTTGGTCCTCTCAGAGACTCCTATTTTCTTCAAAGCACTGATTACAATTGTAATTGCAGTGCCACTTAGAGAATCTTGTTGAGTGGCTGTCTCCCCAGCTAGAGTGCACACTCCATGAAGGCAGGACCCACCTCTGTGACTTAGCTATGCACACACCCCCTGCTGACTAGCAACAGTGACTAGCGCACAGTGAACACACAGCGAGTGTTGGGTACTTCTTATAAATTACTGTTAGATCAGGAGTGAGTTTGCATGCCAGCAATATGTTACTTGACTAATAGCTTAAACTCACTGGGGTTTATTTTTTTGATATAACAAGAAAGTTCAAGGCAGGCAGTGAAGGGTTTGTGCATAGAGTTGCCAGATTTAGGGAAAAAAATTAGAGGACACACAGTTAAATTAGAATTTCAGATAAACTACAAATAACATTCTATATAAGTTAGTCCCAAATATTACATACTTAAAACTGATGTTTTTCTGAAACTCAAATGTAATTGGGTATCCTGTATTTTATCTGGCACCTCTATTTTAGCCACAACTCAAAAACGCCACGAAAAAGCCAGGGTGTTTCATCCTTAACTTGTGGTCCTATTACCAGGAGGTCATAGGAAGCAGTGGGAGCTGTCAAAGCCAACACCTGCATACTGTCAGCTGTCAAGGTAGGAAGAGGGCTGCTGGGAGCACAGCCAGCCACGTGACTTTCAAAATCGCCCAGCAATGACTCCAACAGACCCCTGCGTGCCTCTGGGCCCGGAACTGGCTCAGATGGCCACTTCTCACTGCAAGGGAGGCTGGAAAGAGGGCGTCATGATAAATTTGGACCAATCAAGATTCATTTCTTGGGGATGTGGCCAAGGGAACAAAACCAGGCCTCTTTTAGCAGGGAAGGAGGAGGACACAGGTAAGCACTAGAAGTGCTGGCCATAGATTTATCAAGCTGATTGCTGGACTTCTAAATTACTGTTATGAAAACAGTGGGAAATTTTTAGAATAAAAGTCTAGCCCTGGCCAGTGTGCCTCAGTTGGCTGCAGTGTCATCCAGTACACCACAAAGCTGTGGGTTTGATCCCTAGTCAGGGCACATGCCTAGGTTGGGGGTTGGGTTCAGTCCCTAGCGGGGGCATGTACAAGAGGCAACAGATCCATGTCTCTCTCTTACATCAATGTCTCTCTCTCTCTCTCTCCCCGCCCCAAATTCCTCCCATCCCTCTCCCTCCCTCCCTTACTCCCCTCTCTTTGTCTCCCCACCCTCCATCCCTCCTTTTCTATAAAATCAATAAGCACATTCTCAAGTGAGGATTAAAAAAATTTTTAATAAACTTTTAAAGTCTAGCCCTGGCTGCTATGGCTCAGTGGCTTTAGTGCTAGCCTGTGAACCAAAGCATCACTGGTTCAATTCCCAGTCAGGGTGCATGCCTGGGTTTCAGGCCAGGTCTGCATTTGTGAATGTGTGAGAAGCAACCACACATAGATGTTGCTCTCCTTCTCCTTCTCTTTCTCCCTCCCTTCCCTTCTCTCTAAAAAGAAATAAATAAAATCTTTAAAAATAATAATTTTTTAAAGTCAAGGTATGATTTTTTCAAATTTAATTTCCAAGAATTTCTGAAATACCCTCTTTTCTCCCAGCTGATTGAGAATCATTGTACTTGACTTTTCTGCTCATTTCAGCATGTGAAAATAGGTCATCGAAAGACTATCTTGAAGGAAGACAAAACCTTAACAGACATTAAAAATGTAAACATTTAGGTCATTTGGGCAAGAAATAAGTATCTTTTTGCATACTATTATCAGTGAAGACATCAGGAATGAACTAAAGACTACCAGTGCTTAGTTTCTGGATGTGCAGTTTCACATTATAATTACTCTTATCAAAGCAGTTAATGGGATACTGTATCTATTTCAAAAGGCTCGTACTCTTCATTTATTGGAACACAGCAAATCTGCTGAAGCCTTAACCTCAGTCCCTTTAGAATGAATTTGCATAATTCTCCTAAAGAAGAATTCTCCTAAAGAATTCTCCTAGGAAGGCTTCATTGTACTCAATATCAAACGGAAGAGGGAGTTCGAAAGAGGACCTCCTGCAGGGACTGTTACACAGAGGGGTGAGATTCCAGGCCAGGTTACCTTCTAAGGATACACTTGTGACAGAAAGTAGAACCGTAAAATGCTGGAGCAGTGTCAACTGGTTCAATGCTCTCTATGTCAGTATGGAAATTAAAACCAGCACCTATGCCCTGCTCAGCCCCATACAGCTAGTTAGTGGTGGGACCAGGGCCAGGCTACATGCCTTCTCCACTCAAATACACACACACACATTTTTTAATTTTAAACGAAAGAATGACAGAAAAATCACCTGCTGGAAAACATTTCTCCCTCTGTCCTTTGAAGAGAGCACATTGAGGAGCCTCTAAAAAATAAAGGCTGTGTCAGGGGAAAATGAAGCTTTCTGCCTAAGCTTAGGGAGGCAAGCTGACTCATGTGGTTATTCATGGGGAGCCTGGTGAACCCGCATGCCGCTGTCTGGCTGTGCAGGCCTTCGGTTTGTGGCTTCAGCTGTTCTTTCAGTGCTCCATCCATTGTGGAGAGTTAGGAAAAAGCAAGGTTATGGAAAGATAGAATAAGCACTACTCTCCACTTTTGTGCACACACAGAAATAAATGAAAATTGCAGCTTTAGAGCTTTCATCAAGGTAGTCTGACCTACAGATAAGAGTACATCCAAAAAAATCTTAACCAAAGTGAGCATATCCCATGCAGTCACACCCACAGGGTCCGCTAGATGTCAGTAGTGCTCCCCACTCCCAGGTTGTGACAGCAAAAATATCTTCAGAGAGGAGGAAACCCTCATGCACTGTTTGTGAGAATACAGATAGGTGCAGCCAACTGTGGAAAACAGTGTGAAGGGTCCTCAAAAAATTGAAAATGGATCTTCCTTGCGACACGGCGATTCCACTTCTGGGGATATATCTGAAGAAACTTGAAACACTAATTTGAAAGAATATATGCACCTGTATGTTCATTGCAGCATTGTTTACAATAGCCAAGATTTGAGAGCAGTCCAAGTGCCCATCAGCAATGAGTGGATAAAAAAGCTATGGTACATATACTCAGTGGAATATTACTTGACCATAAAAAAGGAAATAATACCTTTTGCAACAGTATTGACAGACCTGGAGAGAATAATGCTAATTAAAATAAGGCAGTCAGAGAAAGACAAGTAACATTTCACTTATATGTAAAATCTAATGAGCAAAATTCACAAACAAAATAGAAACAGACTCATGGATACAGAGAACAGATTGACATCTGTCAGAGAGAAGGGGAATTGGAGAGTCTGGTGAAATAGGTGAAGGGATTAAGGAAAAAAACTCAAAAACACAGACAGCAGTATCATGATTACTGGAAAGAAAGGGGTGTTAATGATGATGGAAGGAAACTTGACTTTGGGTGATGAACACA